GTATATTCTTATAATGGAATATTATTTGTGAATTTAAATGAATGAAACACTGATACATGCTACATTGATAAACCTTGAAACCCTATGCTAAGTGAAAGAAGCCAGTCACAAATGACCACATATTGTGTGTTTTTTGTTTATATCAAAAGACCAGAATAGGAAAAATCTATAAAAATAGAAAGTGTATTTGTGGTTTCCTGGGCCTGGGGGATAGAGGATGGAGATAAATAGGAAATTACTGCTCATTGGCAGGTTTTTTGGGGGGTAATAAAAATATTCTAAACTCAGATTGTGCTAATGCTTACACAACTCTGTGCATGCTAAAATTTTGAATTTTATACAATTTTATGGCATGAAAATTATATCTTATTAAGCAGTTTTTAGAAGAAGAAAGAATGGGAAGACAGATATTAGAAAGATCTAGTAGAGAGTGCTTTCAAGAATGCTATAAGAAAGGGATAACAGTAAGTCATTAGTCGAATAGGAAATCTGGATTAAAGAAAGTTTTTTTTTAAGATGAGAGAAATACCAGTGTATTTTAGGATGTGGCAATTGATCTAATAAAAAAAGGAAAGTTTGATAAAACCAGAAAGAGACAAGACTTTGTGGAGCAACATTTTCAAGTAGCAAAGAGAGAATGAAGATACAGTGCATAGGTGGAGGGATTTGCCCTGCGGGAGGATGGAAAGTTCATCCATAGAAATAGAAGAGGAGGTGAAGTATATTCACTCTGATTCTGGCAGGTGTGTAGACTTCAGGTTGAGGTTTCCGAAAATTCTCTTCTAATTATTTTATTTTTCTCATCATGGTAGAAAGCAAGATTCACTACTGAGAATAAGAGTGAGGAACGAGTGTTGGAAATTATAGGAGAAAATCTGAAATACTTGTTCTGGAGAGTGAAAGAAAAAATGGATTGGGGAGAAAAGGATAATTTCTGGGGTGAATCCTTGTGAGGTTTAGAGAGCATGAGTATAACGTGAGAATAGCTGACATGTTTGTGTGTTACAGTTATCTTCAGCTGCATGCGTTCAGTCATGGAGTAAGTGAAGAGTTGAATTTAGCCATGGTTTTTATTTTGTTGGATTATATCGGGTTTCCGTAGAAGAGATTGTGAGATCGAGATTCGTGTGCAGGAGTTTACTGAGGAGTGTCTTCAGAAGCAACATCTCTAAGGGATGCAGGGCAGGAGGAATGAGCAGAGGAGGGGTTGAACAGAAGTGCAGCTGTAGCAGGTCTCAGGCAATCCTACAGGGAACTGTAAGCTGGAACAACCCTCTGATTTGTCCCAAATTGAAGCATGGAGGCTTGGCATTGTGCCCCTTTGTAACCATTTAGACATGGGATTCCTGTAGGCAAGGAGGCTCCCAAGAAGTGACTGGCTTCTTTCCTCAAGAGGAACTTGGCTGTGAGATGGCAGAAATTAACACTCCTAGTAGGTGCGGTAATGAGTGCTTTAGTCCTGAAGGGAAGGTACTAGATGGCATGCCACAGAATCTGCCACAATTCGCCCCTTTAAACTATTTGCTTGTGTACTAAGCTTACCCCTTCTAAGAAGACCTCCTCCTGGATTCTGGTAGGTTTCCTTTCCTAGACGGTCTTACACGGGAAAGGTTAGTGGGCCTAATCCTGCCTCTATAACCGGTCTAGAGGCTGCCATTGATACCTCATTTGTCTATTGTACTATCCATTCTAGATTCTCCTCTTCCTTGGCTAGTACTTCTGCTTGTGTAGGTGGCTTACCTGGTGGTATAACCCAGATATCTGTATAAGAGTTGTCTGAGCCCCTGGTCCTCTGGCTACCAAATCATTCTCTAGAGTTGACTGTTACACTTATTTACTCAAAGTTAGGCACAGTCCACAGTGGACCATAAAGCAAAACTGAAGATGGACACCTTGCATTAAAAATGGGAGGTCAAAAAGAGAAGAATTAGGGTCCCTGATAGTCACATGTTGAACTCTTAATCTCTGATTTTTTTTTATGAGAGAAAAGTATACCCTTAGGTGTTTGACTATTATCAGGTCCCTATTAACAGCTAAATAAAATTCCCCACTAAAATAATAGTGTAGGCTGGATATCCTCCTAACCCTCAAATTCCATATACCACACATCCAGTAAATATTTGAGTTCACCATGTCCCAGACATTTCTTTATTATTATTATTTATATTTTATTGCACTTTAGATTCTGGGGTACATGTGCAGAACATGCAGGATTGTTGCATAGGTACATACATAGCAATGTGGTTTGCTGCCTTCATAGCCCCGTCACCTACATGTGGCATTTCTTCCCATGTTATCCAGACATTTCTTTCCCTAGATTTCTACATTTCTGCTTAAGGCACCATCATTCTCCATTCTCAACATCTGCTTCAGAACCATATGAGGTTTAGTGAGCAAGAGAGTACTATGAGAACAGTTGACACGTGTGTACACTTTTCTCCAGCTATCTTCAGCTGCATGGGTTCAGGCATGAAGTAAGTGAAGAGATGTCTGAGATCCTGATTACTGAGAGCTACTGAGACCAAAAGTCTTAGAGTTCCTCTTAAATGCCTTCTCATCCTCATCTACATATCCAGTTAGTTGTCAAAGCCTGTCATTCTGCCTCAGTAATACCTCTTGGCCGGGCACGGTGGCTCATGCCTGTAATCCCAGCACTTTGGGAGGCCGAGGAGGGTGGATCACCTGAGTTCAGGAGGTCAGGAAGGTGGATCACCTGCAGTCAGCCTAGCCAATGTGGTGGGACCCCTTCTCTACCAAGAAGACAAAAAATTAGCAGGGCGTGGTGGTGGGCACCTGTAATCCCAGCTACTCAGGAGACTGAGGCAGGAGAATTGCTTGAACTCGGGAGGTGGAGGTTGCAGTGAGCTGAGATTGCGCCACTGCATTCCAGCCTGGGTGACAAGAGTGAAACTCCATCTCAAAAAATAAAAAATAAAATAAAAATAATAATACTGCTCGTTGCTGTCTTCTCCCCTCTATCACTATTTGCATTTCCTAGATTAGGTGTTCTCCCCACCTCTGCCAATCTTTGCTCTTCCAAAAGCTTTGGTTTTTTCATGCTCATGCCCAGTGTATCCTACAAACTGCTATATTCTTTTAATAGTTCCATCTTTTTAAAGAATAGTTGTAGCCAAAATAGTAAAAATAATTCTTCTCAGAAGCCCTCAATAGCTTTCCATTATACACCATATGAAATCCAAATGCCTTAATTTTGCATTCAAGGCCTTAATCCTGTCATACTACATGTTTTTTCATTTTAACTTATATTGGATTGGTTACTAATGATTTTCCCAAATATTTCTTCCATTTTCCTGATGCTCTGTCCCTCAGCCCCCGCCCCCATCATGCATGGCCTATTTCTTTCTCATCATCACCCTTTAAGTTCTTTCTTGGTCTTATCACAGTTTGTAAACATATTTACTATTTACTTATTTACATCTTGAATTTCTAAAATGTTTTCCATTTAAACATTTAATTGCCAGAACATAAACTCTCTGAGGACAGGAACGCTGTCTTAGTCTCTTACCAATTTCCAGTGCCCAAATGAGTGTCAGCGCAGGGGCTTAATGCATATTTGCTAATTGAATTAATGAGTGGGATGACACTGTAAAGTCTATCTCAGCTTTGCAAAGAGTGGTTTTAACATTCAAGTTGGAAACAGCATGGCTCGGCTCAGGCTCCTGTGTTTCCTACACAGGCTTCTGTGTCTCCCCTTAGCTCTAGAAGAGCGAGTCATCCTCATGGAAGAAGAGAAGCGAAACTGCACCTTGATGGCAGGGAGGTAAGCTGTCTACAGGGAAGGATGTCTGTCCTCTATGCTATGGGACCTGTCTGAAAAACAGTGCACCCCAATGGCAGAGAGATGTTGTCTACAGGGAAGGGTCCCTGTCCTCTGTGCTGTGGGACCTTGTCTCTAGGCAATCTCTTTGAGTCAAATGAATGAGTGTCCTTCTTATTTTACACTTATCTTATGTGTGGTCGTGAGGATTACTTAGTCTTTCAAAGTCTGATTTCTCTTAGGCTCCGTCTAACTGCTGAAAACTTAGTTTGCTCTTGTAAGATAAATAAACACACTTGGGGCAGGGGGTTACATTTTATTTTTCCCTTAGGCAAAGCATTAAAAATAAACAAAACAATCACCATGCCTAAAGTCTCCAAAAAATTCATAGTTACCGGAAGGAAAATATGCTGAGGAAATTGTATTTATTTAATAGTGGGCAAAGGCATATTTTATGCTACAAAGACCTTCCATAAGGAGAACATATCATGGCAGCTCAGCAGTGGGCTGCCTAAGTATTACAGGCATGGAGAGGAAATGGATTTACATATCAGGTTCATACATGCATCCTCTATTAATCCAAAGAATCAATGCTAGCCAGGCAGGCTTTGTGTTAGAGGCTGGGCACACCATATTTCTTGGAGACTTAGAAAATTTCTATTGCCTTTTGAAGCTTTGTGACATCATTTTTTTCAAACCACAAATTGGGGTGTGTGTTTGTGTGTGTGCATATATATGTGTGTGTGTCTAGGCAAATAAGCATTTCAGTTCAAATGAGTATTTAATAATATTTATAATTTGTAATTTGATACATATAAATGGCATCCTAGAAATATCAAATGGATAAAATATATCTTATTATTATTTTTAAAAATATGAAATGTCCTTCCCTTACTATGTCTGTATCAGGCCCTCACCTGCTTCTCCTCCCCTTTCCCTCCTCCCCCTATTTTTTGGCAGAGCAAGAATCTTGCCTTCTCAGACTGTCAGAAAAGTAATCTATTTTTAAATTTCCAGAATTTCAGGTCTCCTGTCATTAAACATGACAGAGGGATTTAGGGAAAGGGAAACTGAAAAACAAAATTAGTTTTAAGTGTGACCTAAATGTATACGATTTCAGTGTTTAGATAGCACAGCAGGTTAAAGCTGGATTTTGAACATATTTTCAGTGTGCTTTGGCATGCAGCATTTTTGAGAGAGATATTATGTAAGTTATCAAAAAGCATACATTTGAGATAGGACTTTTATTTTATCCAGAAGCTAAAAATCACCAAATGTTATATTTTAATATGCAGATAACCCTTATTCTGATTTGGGTTTGGAAGCTTGATCAGAAAAGGTTTTTACTGTGGTGTTTAGGACGTCACGTTCTTTAGAAAGAAAGCTGTCTGTTTTTCTTTTCTCCAGAGGAACTGCAGTTTAGGACAGGCACAAAGCTGGGAACATAACCAAGGGCAGAAAAAAAATTCACCCCTATGTTCTGTTTGTCAAACTGACCTGCAGGTCACAACCTGAAAGTTTATGGATTGGTGAGGCCTTGTCTCCACATAAGCATGTTTTCTGGACTTTGGCTGAAGCTAAATTCCTGACTTCTGAAAGAGGGGTGGGTGTGGACTTCCAGCAGGAATAGCCAGTGGGAAGGAAGTAATATTCATTAAGAGTGTCTCATGCAAGCAGTGCCGGGCTAAGCATGCTCAGTGTAAATTCTCCTGGAGCCTGTCAAGCTATGTTTGAACTCGTTCCAGAATAGTGGATTTACTTTTTTTTTTTTTCCCACCAGGAAGAATACTCGATAGACTGCATTTTGCCTTGCTTTTCTTTCTTTCTTTCTTTTTCCTTTTCTTTATCTTTCTTTCTTTCTTTCTCTTTCTTTTTCTTTCTTTCTTTCTTTCTTTCTTTCTTTCTTTCTTTCTTTCTTTTCTTTCTTTCTTTTTCTCTTTCTTTCTTCTTTCCTTCCTTCTTTCTTTTCTTTCTTTCCATTTTTTTTCCTCCAGAAGAATGGAAACAATATTCTTTTCTGATCAGTTCAGTAATACAGTGCCCTTCAGTGTCCATGTGAGCATTTCAGTGGAGAAGAAAAGAAACTTTGCTACCTGGGAACTGAAGACTACTTAGGTCAGTAAATGCTAATAAAGTTCTTAAAGACTTACAGAGCTAGGAATTAACTTTACTTAACTGTTAAGATAATCTACGGTAAATTTAATTGCCTTTTCAACTGGTGGGTGTACACTGATTTTTTTTTCCCACACAAAAACTATGTTTTTCATGCGTTGGAGTGATTTCCCAAACACAGGGAAAATATGTCTTTTGGTTAATTTGCATTTGAAAGAACCTCTTTTTGTATGAGAGGTTCTTTCTGTCTACCACAAATTATGTGTTTTTCAAACAAATATTGTGGTGAGCTGATGTAGCTATAATGGTCTGAATGTGGATGTGTTCTGTGTTATATTAATTCTTGGCTTGGGTAGGTTTGGTGAAAGTTATTGCTTTTCTTGCTGCCAGAGATGAAAGGGAGTTTGTTTTGTTGTGGATATTGTTTTGGAACTTTTGGTGAGCTTTGAGGCTGCCTTGGGAGCTCCTTATAGAGAGGAGAGTCATCTCTTTCCATGTTTAATGTGCGTTTTTCAAAATATTCAACTTTAAGACAAGAATACAGCTTTTAAAAAATCTGTGTAGGAATAGAGTTTTTTAAAAAATGCAGTTTTGGAGGGAAATGGTTTATAGAAAGGTTTGTGATAAAGAATTTGAATCAAGACCGTCATGGTGAATGTAAGCAAAAAATGCAAAAGAATACTGCATGCTGTGTACACAGTGATTCAGTGTAGGTTAATAATTTTACTTTTTAATTTTTTAAAGAGCGTACCAGCTCTTAAAGGGCTGTCTTAAAATATCAGCTGATAACACAGAGGGCTCATTAGAGAGATGTTAGGATCTTGGAAAAATCAAGTTAGCAAAGGCGGCCCCTTTAAAAACATCTAAGGACTGAGGTTATGAAACCACATGGCTTCATGTAGAAGCAGTGCATTCTAGGCTAAAGCAGTTTAATTTTATTCAAGAATTTTAAGAGTAAAAGGGGATTTATTTCTTTTCAAAAAAGAACAACCAGGCGAGGATTATTGATCGGTCAGGGATTAAATATTTGCTGGAATACGAAGCATCACATATTATCAATGTGTAAATCAGATTGGGCAGCTATTCAGGGGATGTAAATGAAACAACCATAGTTTCAGCCAGAATCAAATGCAGCAGCACTCCTGCCCTGCTTTCTTCATCTTTATGTCCCAGAAAGGGATGATAGAGGTGGGGCAGGGTGTGAAATGAGACTTAGCCGATGAGCTGACCTTGCTCTTTTAACTCCTGTCCATCTGTTCTTACCGGGCAGCTGAAGCAGTGAGCAAAGTGGGACGGGACCTCAGGGGGGACTAGGAAGCAGAGGCCAGACCCAACCAAGCCTGTGATCTGTCCCCCACCCTGCAAGTTAGATATCAGGAGGAGCTAAGTGGATGCATCTAAATCCACTTCCTTCTGCTCCCAGAGCTTTGATTTAGTACCAAATGCTGCTCTTCTGCACCTGCCTCTGTTTTTCATAAGTAAAAGCTTCTCCCCATGTGTAGATGGTGGTTTATTCGATACAGATCAATCCCTAAGGAGATAGCCGAAGCAATTCAGTCTTGTTTGTTTTTTTTTCCTTCTTCCCTGACATGTGGCACAGATCTTGATGAGGTTTAATTGAAACGACAAACCTTTTCTGGGATGCGAGAGCACAGTTCTCCATGGAAGTGTGTCTGTGAGCGTGGGTATGTGCGCACGCAAGTCACTTGCAGTCTGGGCTCTGGGACGCTGCCTCTTGGAAGGCTTTGCAAGGCTGAGGGCATTTGTCTGGAGCCAGGGATCTTTTCATCACCTTGTCTCCGTGTTGGCGAAGAGGAGGTGCACATTCTGGAGTGTGCTGTAACTCTTTACTCTGAGTCCTTGTTCCTAATACTGCACTCTCCCTGCAACACCCCAACTGTTCCCTCTTCATGACCTGTGTCTTTCAGCATAGCACCAAAACCTACTGAGGGCACAAAGAAAAACCAAAGGGCATGCAAAGAAGCAGAGACTGAACAAAGACAGGCCTCTTCACGTTCACATCTGGATAAAATTTAGATTGAGACAAGGGAAAATGAGTGGGAGAAAAAAAAATCTGACATCACATTAAGAAAATGCATATAATTGACTTTCTAGAGTTTTTCTTGTCTCAAGCTTTCTGAGTGTTTTTGTCTACTGCCCACATCCTACCCATAGGATCTGGGAGAAGACGGGTATCACATCCCTATTTTGTAGTGAAGTGCAGTGATTTGGCCAAAGCGGTGTCTGGGCTGGAGCAAACATACGGATACCTGGAGCTCCAGTCCAAGTCTCTACCTCTGCAAGAATAGAAATAATCTGGGTTTCGTTTCTGTATCTCGAACTCAGTTCCCACATTCATTTTAAAGTTTTGGACAAAGACATTCTGTGCAGTAAGTTCTGAAACTGGATCCATTACTATAATAATTTGAGAAGTATTTGAAGCTTTTTGGGAGACTTTGACATGTTTCCTTTGATCTTATCTTCACTATTACCTACTAAGTGGGCCAGTGTTCTTATTTTCTTTTGACAAATGATGAAACTAAAAGATTGAATGACTTGCTACCTAAGGTCTGGATAGAGGCTAGATGGGAATTCAGGTTGAAATTCTAGACCATCCTGAATCCCTGAGTTACGGAGGTAGAGAGGGTATAAAAGAGGAGTCCTGTGATTCATGAAGGTGAAAAGTGCTACAGCACTAGAGACTTTGGATATTGCCCCATTGTGAAGGAGAAAACTCCAGCTGGAGATGGTATGTTACTGCACGCACGGTCACACTCAGGGAGCTGGAGACTTAAATTTAAATCCCATCTGTGGAATCCCAAAGTGTGTGTCCTATGGTGTAGTGACTAAGCACATGGGCTTTGCTAAATTTCTCTGTATCTCTTTTTCATCATGTGTAGAATGGGGATACCAAGGGGTTGCTATGAGGATTATCTGAGACTATGAATGTAAATTACTTAGCATGGTATTTCACACAGCAGACTAAACCCTAAAATGCTTTGATTGGCATATGTTCTTATTTGTTGCTTGTGTTGTATCACCCAAGGTAAGCATGAGCTATTTTTACTGTGAATCCTGGTTAGCTCTTAGCTCATCCCACAGATACTCAGGGCACTTGTGTTGGTAAATTAACACCACAAGATGAGTAGCGCTTAAGACATATTTATTGAAAATACAAAAATGTGCTAAATGGCACAGAGAGTTCACTGAGGCAAAATGCTTATTCTTCTTGTTCTTAGTCCAAAAAGAGATCAGAGGGAGGCTATCTGGGCAGATGTGTCTGAGATAAGTGCACATTTGTTGAGTCAAATCTAGTTATCTTTGGTGACTTTCCAATGTGGTTAAGCAGGCTTCTTGGAAGTGAGGAATCTCTATGAAGGGAAAGAAGTCAATTATAGGCTCATAGGTTCAGTGGGAGTAAAAAAAGAAGTAAAGGCACATATGTAGACAGGCTTTAACTGTCAAGACTTCAGGTTGTGAGGGGCCTTCAGACAAGTGCTGACCGGGCTCTTGAGATCCACTAAGTGTCTTGGCTCTGAGGTTCCTGGCTTACACATAGCATTACGTTAGAGAAATCTCTTTAGAGATATGAAGCTCAAGGACCTGTTCCTGACCAAATCAGTGATCCGTAATGGACTGTTCTCTGTATAGAGAACTGGTAACTGTAAGTGCGCAGTCACGAGGCTGCAAGACCAAATGAAAGGAAGGGCCACTCCCTGAAAGCACGTGCAGTCTAGATGAATAAATGGTACATAGAAGTGCATGGAGCACTCAAATGCAGATCAGTAAAACAAATCTGTCAGTGCAGAAGTGTGAGGCAAACTTCAGGGACAGCGGTTGATGGTTGATGGTTAAATATTCTAAATGTCTATTCTTAATTTTTTTTCCTTCTTTTTTTGAGAAGGAGTCTTGCTCTGTGACCCAGGCTGGAGTACAGTAGCATGATCTTGACTCACTGCAACCCCTGCCTCCTGGATTTGAGTGATTCTCCTGCCTCAGCCTCCCAAGTAGCTGGGACCACAGGGATATGCCACTATGCCCAGCTAATTTTTGTAATTTTGGTAGAGGTGGGGTTTCGCCATGTTGGCCAGGCTGGTCTCAAACTCCTGATCTCAGGTGATCTACCTGCCTTGGCCTCCCAAAGTTCTGGGATTACAGGTGTGAGTCATCACACCCAGCTTAAAATTCTTAAATTCTTTACAACTCAGTTCACAGTTCTCTTTCAGATGCCTCTCCATGGCCTTCAACCACTTGTCCATGCTGGGAAGGAAAAGCTACTCTGGGGGTACAGCAGGGGGATGGGGATGGGTGTTGGTTTATTGAGCATCTCTTACACACCCAATGCTAGGTTTCATGCTTTATGACTATTATATTTAAAGTACACAATACCCCTGGGAAGTTTAAAGAGTAGGAAACCTATACCCATCGGAGAAAAATATATGGCCCCTGAGGCAACAAGGAGCCACACGGTTCACCAGCTGAGCATAGGACGTTGTGTGTCACACAAGGCTGTCAAGAAACATTCTAGGTGGAAAGGACTGCTGTTGTCCAATAGACTACATTCCTTCCATGGGTGATGCCTATATCTTGCTTCATTCTGGGCCTATTAACATGTATTGTCCAGAGTTGAACAAGTCACATCCCATGAAGTTAATGCTTGGTGAAGTCTATATACTGCCTGCCTTTAGGGAACCGTTCCACTTCAACAGCAAGCTCACATCACATTTCTTTTTCGTTTTTTCAAATAGGTCCTTAAAGTTTTGCAGTTTCAGAAGTAAAGAGCTTAGCAATCATTAGGTAGTATTGTATAGCTTTGTAAACAGTGGGATTTGGAATGATAGGACTGGGTTTTGGGTCCTGACCCTGGAATTTACTTGCTGTCTGACTTTGGATAGACAATTTCACTTCACTGGGCCTCAGTTTCTACATCTGAAATTGTCAATGGGAATTTTCTCAGGTGAGATGCTCAGATCTGCTATTCAACCTTGTACCTATAGTCAACA